TGTGTCCCCGGGAAATCACCGCCCGGGAGGGACTCTGAGCAGAAACTCTCTGAGGCTCCCGAGGCCGCCTGGTTACAGAGGAAGAGGGTCCAGGGGTCTCAGTGATTCCTGGTTGTGTTCCCTCCATTGTCAGGTCCCAGGAAGGTCCATCTGCAAGCTGCCCGCCTCCCTCCGCTCCCAGGAGGGCAGTCCTGGCTCTCCAGGAGCTGCAGCCCCGGGCCAGGGTCCCAGGGTCCCAGGGTCCCTCCTTCACTCTCAGGTTCCTGGATCCTCCCTGGAGGACCTTGGTGTCTTGTCTTCCCATTTGCTCCCCCCTCCCCTGGTCCCCAGGGTTCCAGGTGCCTGGAACTTCTCCTGGGAGACAGTCCTGGCTGGAGGAGAGAGGTCACCTGACTGGGCTTCCAGGACCCGCCCCTCTGCCCAGCCCAGGTCTTTCCTTTTTTTAAAAAATACTTGTATTGATTTCAGAGAGGAAGGGAGAGGGAGAGAGAGACACACTGGTGATGTTTCTCCTGCACGCCCCCCACTGGGGTTCGAGCCTCTAAGCCAGGCCTGTGCGCTGACTGGGAATCGAACCCTGACCTCCTGGTCCAAAGGCTGACGCTAAACCACTGAGCCAGCAGGCCGGGCGCCTCTCAGGTGAGGGAGGCCTGGAGGGACTCACTGGGTCTCAGGTGCCGTGTTTACCTCGGGGTCATCCTGGGAGGGTTTCCCTGGAGGAGATTTTTTCTATTGTTTCTTCCAGAGAAAGGAAGGGAGGGCGGCTGGAGAGGGAGAGAGAGAGAGAGAGAGAGAGAGAGACCTCGGGATGGAACCCGGGACACGTCAGTGCACAGTGGACGCTCTAACTACTGAGCCCGCTGCCCAGCCTTTGTTCTCTGTGGGGGGCCGTCGGGGGGAAGGCTGGGGGTGCGGAGGCTCAGCAGGTCCACAGTCGCTGCTTCAATGGAATCGTCCTGAACCACCCAGTTCCTTAAGTTGCAAAGAAACGGTCCTGGAACCAGTTATTCCGATTATCCCTCATGTTCCTCAGGTGGGAGAGTCCCCCAGCCCCTCACTGGGTCCCTGGGGCATCCCGCCTCACTCTCGCCCTCCCTGTGTCTGGGCTCCAACACCAGCTTCCCCTGATGGATGGTCTCTATTGGGGCTTCCTGCAGCCCCCGGTGGCCATGAATCAATGGAAATGTGACCAGTCCTACCCGGTGCGGCTCAGTGGAGAGAGCCTTGGCCTGTGGACTGAAGGGTCCTGGGTTCGATTGCGATCAAGGGCACGTACCTGGGCTTCGGGTTCCATTTCTGGCCCTGGTCGGAGTGAGTGTGGGAGGCAGCCCATGGATGTGTGTCTCTGCCTCCCCCCCTCCCTACCACTCTCTCTACAAATCAATGGAGAAACATCCTCGGGTGAGGCTACATCTGAATGTTAAATTCTGTTTCATTTTAGTGAATGGAATTGGGGTCCCCACCCTAGTCCACAGCACAGCTGCACTCTCTGCAGCGTCTACACTGCAGACCTTTCTTCCCTCCAGATAAGACCTCAAGGCCCGTGAGGCCTGGCAGCCGGGCGCCCACAGGAAGTACGGGGTCGGTGCGCCGCCTCCGCTGTGGGAGCCTCTGGGTCCGGCATTGCAGCTTCCGGCAGAGGCATGGCATCGGCCTCTGCCAGCAAGAAGATGCGGGAGGAGGCCACCTGCTCCATCTGCCTGAACCTGATGGCCGAGCCCGTGAGCATCAACTGCGGCCACAGCTACTGCCAGGCCTGCCTCCTGTGCTTCATGGGCCTGAACTCCTCTCAGCGGAGCCAGAGGGACACCAAGACCTTCTCCTGCCCCCAGTGCCGGGCTCCCTTCCGGAAAGGCAGCCTGAGGCCCATCAAGCAGCTGGGTAGCCTCATCGCCGCCCTCCGGGAGCAGGAGCAGGAGCAGGAGCTGTCCTGCCAGGAGTATGGGGAGCGGCTGCATCTCTTCTGCGAGGACGAGGGCCAGCTCATCTGCTGGCGCTGTGAGCGCGATGGGCGGCACAAGGGCCACAACACGGCGCTCGTGGAGGACGCGGGCCCTGGCTACAGGGTGAGTGCCCCCTCGTGCGCCCCGAGACCCCCCTTATCCAGCCCAGTGACCCCTCCTGCACCCCGAGACCCCCCTCATCCAGCCCAGTGCCCCCTCGGATGCCAATACCCCCATCATCCAGCCCGGAGGCCAAGGTTGGGACCCTGAATTCTAGCTTTCCTCGTGTGGTTCTTTCTTCCAGCAGGAGGTAGGGTGGGGGTGGTAAGTGGGGAAGAAGAGAGGGGCGGGAAGGTTGAGGGTGGGTCCTCCCTGAGTCAAGTCCTGCCTGTCCAGCCCCACCTTCCCCGGACAGTCAGACTCATGTAGGTCCCGGCTGCGTGATGAACTGGTCCCAGCTCCAGCGCCCCATGCGCTCAAACCCACACATGCATGGTGTTTTGTTTTGTTTGATAATCCTCACCTGACGCTATTTTCCCACTGATTTTTAGAGAGAGTGGAAGGAAGGGGGATAGAGAAAGAGAAACATCGATCTGAGAGAGACACGGATTGGTTGCTTCCTGTAGGCGCCTTGACCAGGGCCCGGAAAGGGCAGCCGAGGTTCATGCCTTTGACTGGTATGGTACTGGGCTGAGGCTCTAGCCACTGAGCCCGACCAGCCAGGGCCGCACCTGTGTGTTTTTTCTCCTCTCGGGTGCATGTGATGAGACGGCGCCATGTGCAGGGGCGCGTGGGAGTGACAGCACAGGGACCAGGAGCCACCTCGTGGACAGCCTGCCGTCCAGTAGGGAAGACGCACCAGCGGAAGGACTGCCCGGCCTCCATGGCCTGGGGGGTGGGAAGGGGACCCGGGTGCGGGTGGTCTCGGGAGCCCTCCCAGAGGTGAGTCCTGACGGAGCCTGAACACTAACCATGTGGCCCGGCCAGCGTGGCTCAGTGGTTGACCATCAACCTAGGAACCAAGAGGTCACGGTTGGATTCTTGGTCGGGGCACGTGCCTGGTTTCCGGCTCCATTCCCAGTGTGGGGCGTGCAGGAGGCACCTGATCCATGATTCTCTCTCATCATTGGTGTTCCTGTCTCTCTCTTCTTCTCAAGAGGAATAGAAATATATACATATATTTACCTATCTCAAAGGTTACGGTATGTAGGAGTGCTGAGAAAAGAGGGCTCTCCTGTGAGAGGGCCCACAGCAAACGCACAGCCAGGGGGCGGGGGCGTGTAGGGAAAGGCAGGTGTCACCGAGCCTTCCATCAGCTCAGTCTAGGTCCCCCCACAGGGTGTCCTGGCCATTAGCCGAGAGGAGGGTCAGGGTGACAGGGACAGAGAGAGCCCGGGGCACTGACATCCAGGTTCTTCCCGTCAGAGGGAGAAGGGAGATGTGGTCAGCAAGGGTCATTCCATTTCTTCCTCCAGGAAAAGCTCCAGGAAGCAGTGAGGAAACTGAGGCAGCTGGAAGAGGAATGCACGAACCAGAAAGCTTTCACGGCGAAGCAGATCACCCAGTGGAAGGTGAGAATGGGGGGCTCTCCCCTTGGCCGCTGGAGGGCACCCCCCTGGGCTCAGGTGCAGTCCCCCCAGTCGGGCGTGTGCAAGAGGCAACAGCCCATGTCTCTCTCACATTGACGTTCCTCTCTCTCTCCCCACCTCCCTCCCTGCCACTCCCCTCTCTCTAACAATCAATGGAGAGAATATCCTGGGTGAGGATTAACGACAACAACAGCAAAAAGAACAGGGATTTCTTGGTGTCAAGCTCTGTCTGTCCTGGCGCTTAGGCGTAGGGTCTGATCGGGCCAAGCACAGGGATGGTGTCACTGAACCAGAGCAGCAGGTGGAGCCCCGAGAAGAAGCCATTGTCCTCCTTGTCCACATCGATGAGAGCTCATCCCCTCCCCCCCCCTCCTTCCAGCAGGAAATGGCCAGGAGGCCAGTGCCTGTCGGAGCCGCAGGATCACATGCCTGTTTACTGAGAGCCGTCCCCACTGGGTTTCCAGCTTTCTTTCTTTTTTACTTTATTTTATATTTGTATTTATGTCAGAGAGGAAGGGAGAGAGATAGAAACATCCAAGAGGAGAGAGAATCATGGATCGCTGCCTCCTGCACGCCCCCCACTGGGGATGGAGCCACAGTCCAGGCCTGTGTCCTGACCGGGAATCCAATGTGACCTCCTGGGTCACAGGTGGACGCTCAACCACTGAGCCCCGCCGGCCGGGCTGAGCGTCCTCTCTTGACTGTAGGAGAAGATAGAGGCTCAGAGACAGAAAATCCAGGTGGACTTCCAGAACCTGCACAGCTTCCTGAGGGAGGAGGAGAGGTCGTACCTGTGGAGACTGGAGAGCGAGGAACAGCGCACTCTGCAGAGACTGAGGGGCAGTGAGGCCGACCTGGGGCAGCAGAGCCTCGAGCTCGAGAGCCACATCCTGGAGCTGGAGGAGCGATGCCAGGGCTCCTTCCAGAAGCTGCTGCAGGTGAGGCTGAGCCCTGGGAGGACCCCAAGGGGGCGGGTCCTGAGCTCCTGAAGGGGAATTGGGGGGAGGGGGGTCGTGGGAACAGAGGACCGCCTGCCTCGTTCAGTGGTGGCACATCAGTTTGGGGGATTCAAAGGCAGATTTCTCTTATTCTTATTTAGTCATTTTGTTAATCCTCATTCCAGGATATTGTTCCTTTGGTTTTAGAGAGAGTGGAAGGGAGAGGGAGAGACAGAGAGAGAAACGTGGATGGGAGAGGGACACATTGATTGGTTGCCTCCCACAGGTGCCCAGCTCTAGGCTTGAGATCAAGGCTGCAACCAAGGCGTGTGCCCTTGACCTGAATTGAACTTGGGACCCTTCAGTCTACAGGCCGACGCTCTATCCACTGAGCTAAACCGGCTAGGGCATAAAGGCAAATTTATTTTATTTTTATTTCTTATCATTTTTTAACATGTTTTTTTTTAAATTTGATTTGAGAGAGGAAGGGAGAGGGAGAGAGAGATAGAAACACCAATGATGAGAAAGAATCATTGATTGAGCCTGCAACCTGGACATGAGCCCTGACAGGGAATCATACCCTGACCTCCTGGTTCATAGGTTGATGTTCAACCACTGACCCACACCAGCTGGGCTAAGGCTATTTTTTTTAGAATATTGAACAGAATATAAAATCTACAAGGTGGCTTCCACTGGTCTATAGCGCTCTATGTATAAATCAGAAAATTGTAATTTGGCTCAAAACTCCAGTGTGGTTCAGTGGATAGAGCATCAGCCTGAGGACCAAAGGGTCCTGGGTTCCATTCTGGTCAAGGGTACGTACCTTGATTGCTGGCTCCTCCCTGGTCCAGGCCGTGGTCAGGGCTTGTGCAGGAGGCAACCAATCGATGTGTTTCTCTCACATCGATGTTTCTCTCTGTCTCTCCCTCTCCCTCCCACTCTTCCTAAAAATCACTGGAAAATTATCCTCGGGTGAGGATCAAGAAAAATAAAATCCCCCTGCAGGTAGGGGGGTGGGTTCCTCGGCCGAACAGGCTCAGGGGATGGCTTCCACTCCCAGGTGCCTGTGTCCAGGGGCACAGAATCCTGACGGGCAGGTGATGGCGGAGACCAGGTGGGGCCGCCTCATGAGTGATGGGTGAGCCTGGCCTGATGGGCCCTCCTTCTGTTTATGGTAAATCATCGAATGACAGACAAGAGGCCTTAATGAGCCAATTAACTAGGAGTCGTTTATTGTGTGGGGCCCTGAGGGAGGTGTCTCTTTCCAAATCTCCGAGCAACTCATACAGGAAGTTTCCGGTATTTATACCTTTTGAGCCTCTTTGCAGATATTACAAAGGGCTCTCTGTGAGTTACTGTTACAGACAGTTGTAACCTTGAATACATAATGAGTTTGTATGTGCCATAATTATTATCAGTATTAGTCTATTTTAGTCTATTACATTGGATGGTAGCTTGCAAGGTCAGACAGTTAAGTTGATCTTTTTCTATTATTTGAACTAAAAACAAAGTTATTTTACAGAATAACAGACTGTCTTAAAGTGTCATAGTTTATAATGACAGAGTTTACAGAACAAGGGATTATCTAACAACAGCAGAGAATTTTAACAGCAGTTTTCTATACAAAATGGAGGTTACTATGCTTCACTTTTAGCCTCAGGAAGGTGAACCTCCCCGGCCGCTGCTGGTCCCAGGTCCGGCTGGTGGAACTGGGGGGCACCCCTCAGGGTGACCATGTCTCATGGCTGCTCTGCCCCCTGGGTCACTGTGGCCGCCACCTCAGGGCCCAGTCTGGGCGCCGTGCACCCACCCACCCCTGAGGCTTTATGACAGGTGGCCTCTGGCAGGTGCGCTCTGAGGGAGGTGAGGCCAGAGGGAGCTTGCTGGGCTCCCCACCCCCCTAAGCAGCCGCAGGCTCCCCAGCACCTCAGCAAGGAGGCGCCAGGCTCAGAGACTGAGAGGTGTCCTGCTGTGCTGACCGTCCAGAGGCCAGAGTGGGGATCGTTGCCCGGGGTGTCCGTCTGTTACCCAGAAACCCCCGGGTGGGCTTGGCTGCCTGTCGCTGTGTCCGGTCACCAAGGCAGGGATGAGTCAGAAAAGGCATTTGTTTACTGAGAAGGCGGCCCACCCAGCAGGCAGGGCGCTTACACCCATCCAGTCCTGTCTCCCAGCAGGTGCAGGGACCGGACTATAAAGGGGAAGGGCTGGGTGCTGTGTGCAGCCCTGGGGGTCTCAGCCGTCAGCTCTTGTCCTCAGTCCCCAGGCGAGGAGATGCTGTTGGTCAGATGGTGTTTTGGCTCCTGGTGGGTGGGCCTGACCCTGCTCATGGGTTCTGCTCGCTGGCCTCACAGCTCAGTCACCTCCCCAGTCACTTCGCTCAGGGCCTGGGAAGGAAACTTAACAAAAACGTACCCCCTGTTCCCATGTAAGAAACGTGCCCCTGTTCCGTTAGTGTGTGTGTCCTAAGATTTAAAAGAACAGGATTGCTCTTCAGAGTCATCCAGGTGCCCTGCCGACCAGGGTATAAGGCCCATCCCATCCGAACCGAAGGCCGGGCCTGCCCTGTGCTTCTGGGAGGGAGCAGCAGCCCATCAGCTGGTGTTCC